AGGTTCGTAACTCGTGTCCTGCATATTGCTAAGGTGAGCAAAGTCATGACGAGTTTCCTAACACGTGTCCTGCATATTGCTAAGGAGACCAAAGCCATAACAAGGTTCGTAACTCGTGTCCTGCATATTGCTAAGGTCAGCAAAGCCATAACGAGGTTCCTAACACGTATCCTGCATATTGCTGAGGTGAGCAAAGCCATAACGAGGTTCCTAACACGTGTCCTGCATATTGCTATGGTGAGCAAAGCCAAAACGAGGTTCGTAACCCGTGTCCTGCATATTGTTAAGGTGAGCAAAGTTATAACGAGGTTCGTAACAAGTGTCCTGCATATTGTTAAGATACGTCACAAGCGTCGTATATGCACAAAGAATAAGAAAGATGGTTAATCTTAAGCTTGGCAATGAGATAAAGAAAGGTGTTTTTAGTCTTTCACGAATGTTTGACAGAGTTGTTACTTTTCTATTGAAATAAGGTTTTTTTTTCAAATTTGCAGAGTATCCTTTGGAAAATCACCTTTGCCACTCCACCGAATATTTTTCGACGCTTTGTCCGTCAAGAAACATTCTAATTTCAGCTCGCTTTTGCGCATTTTGTCAAGGCTTTAGGCTGACGACACCATCTTATGTGTGAGTGGCTAAAGATCTCAGCAGTTGCTAATTCAGTTACATACATACATGGGGGCTTTTCAGGGCCAACTCCCACCCATCCCACCCCAGGGAGGATATCCATCACACAGTAATCTCGTGTGTGGGAAATTGTGTCTCCTATCAAGTGGCAGGTCAAGTGTTGAAAATAATTGCAGTGCAATCATTTTGCTACAACTTAGATTCATAATAAAGCAACATCGGTTGGACATGTAGTGCATGTAGTGGTAATGTGATTGCCGCATTGGATTCGGACAGGGAGGTGGGGGTTCAAGACACAGTCACATCATTGTGGTGTCTTCTTGGGTGGGACACTTTCCTCTGACATTTCCCCAATACCCAAGGATTTTAAATGGCTACTGCCATTTTATCAGAGAAGCCTGATAAATTGCCTGGAGGTAACCGGGGATGGACCAGCATCACCTAAAGGGGTATAATTTGAATATATCAACAAAGTTGAAATGGTAAATTGGCCACGGTTACAGTTATAAAAGCTGATGTTTCGAGTGTTAGCCCTTCGTCGGAGTGAACTGTAACTTTATTCGCTCCGACGAAGGGCTAACGCTTGAAACCTCATCTTTTGTAATCGTTATGGTGGCCAATTTACCATTTCAACTTTGTTGATATATCCAAATTATTTAGTTACCCCCACCAACGCAACCCCAAACAGTTTCCTTAGAAACTATCAGCCTAAGACTCTTAGTCATTTTATTCTGTTGTGTCTATGATAACCTTTGGCCAGATGAGCTGCTTGGCTCAACTAATTGCCACCTGGTTAGCTCAAGTTGTTCATATTGAGCACCAAACTGTGTATTGGAAGTCGAGGGTTCAAGCTTCAGACTGGAGAACAATCAGGGTCTTAGAAAAAAAACTAAGGGTATTGTATTGCCTACTGGCTTCTAATGGCAACCCTGTAATTACTAACTGTATGAGGCAAAAGGTTAAGTCTGTACTCAAGCCTAGTTGCCCACCTCCTGGTATCCAAATAGCATGCAGCAACTAGGAGTATCACAACTCCCCCCCCTGGATGGGATGCAAGGTTACCCCACAACATTTCATCCTGCTTCCCTGAGAATTAGCTAGTACCCCATTTATAGTTCTGGGTAGAGAAAGGCACTGTGAGAATAAAGTGATCAGGTTTTGAATGTGAACCTCTCAACATGGAGTCCTGTGCACTGACCACACATGTCTACCACAATTACTAACTGTATACTTCACTGAAATATCAAATTTATATGAAAAAGTAGTGAAGATCATTCTATTAAACCGCTTGCATTCTGTTGAAATGTTTTCCAAACTACATTTGTTTATGTACATGTAACACTGTAGATCCAACAGTCCGTTAAAGAGAGCAGGAGTTGATGTGAATCCATGTAGCAGAGTCACTGTCCTCTCTGCACTTAAAGAAAGTAGGAAAAGAAGTGTTGCTGTTTTTGATGAAGATGAGGAAGAGGTGTCAAGACCATCTAAGAGGTTTGTAGTAAACTGTACACAGTTAAACCTGTACTAAGGGGTCACCTGTGGGGAATGATGAGGTGACCACCTAATGCAGGTTGACCGCTTAAAGTGCATCTGACATGAAATTTTTTTCTCTTGTTTCTTGTAGTTGGATATCTATAGAAAACGTTTCGAAGCCTTAAAAGTGCTGGAAAAATGTAAAAAGCACTTTTTTTGCTTTCAAAATACACGCAATTTGCCTTCAAATTTGTCCCGGTCATCGCGCGGCCAAAATCGCACGTGATATTGTAATGTGATGTCACATTGTGTACATCAATGGAACTTTCAGAAGGGTTGGACTCAAAGGAATCATTAGAAATTCACTGGACATCTTTGCCTTTCAATGCACTATCTATCTACTACAAAGTACTGCAGAATCCTCTTAGCGAAAACAGACCTTTGCGGCAAAGATACACAGTGTGATGTTACGAATAATTTCAACAGCGATAAACTAGGTCCCAGTCTCCAGGACAAATTTGAAGGCAAATTGCACGTATTTTGAAAGCAAAAAAAAGGCTTTTTACATTTTTCCAGCACTTTTAAGGCTTCAAAACATTTTCTATAGATATCCAACTACAAGAAATAAGAGAATAAATTTCATGTCATATGCACTTTAATAAAGGTTACACAGGATAACAGTATTATAAAAATGTTAAAAAAGAACATTTTGTATCATAACTGATCACCCAATATTATGTTAAAAAATACAACTAATGTTGATTTTGGGAGAGAAACATGGACTATAATTTATTTGAAAGATTTTTCTTAGTTTGATTGTAGTGGTTCCGCTTAAGGTGACTGTTCGTTACAGGTGGAAGACAATGCAAACAGGCCAATCTTGTGACCAATTTGCACTCTCAACCCAGTTGATAAAACCAAATTGTCTTCCACCTATATTCATTTAGCATTTAAAGCACAAATACCATGCTGCATTATAAATTAATCTTTAAATGCAACAGTTCTACTTCAGATTAGTGTTTTCTTTGGAGTACTTTTAACTACAACATACAATTATTTTCCAGTGGCCAATCAATCACATGATACTGCCTGTGTGTGCTGCAGCACCAAATTATCTTTCATGTACATTTCTGATTGATAACTCTGAACTGGCCCCCCCTCTGACCCCCCCTCTGAACTGACACACCCCCCTCCCATCCCCCCTTCATCGACTCATTGTGTAATGAATTCAGACCTATTTCTTATTTCAGGAGAGATACCAAGCCAGTAGAATCT